ACAACTTACATTGTGTGCAGAGCAATTTCGCATGACCATCTTCTCATCCCTTTAAGGCAGGGTGTAAGAATATTGAGACTGATAATTTGTAATTAGTCGTTAAGTTATTTATTCATCGTCGATAATCTCTGTCTTTTTTTTTAATGGATTTATTGACGATTATATCAAGATCTTTTTTATTCCCTTTGAGGCAGGGTCCAACAAAACGACTGAAACACATGTTACTTAATCATTTCTCAAATTAATCAGACATTTCGATTTTCCACGCATCCCTAAAACAATTAGACTTGAAATCCAATTGCCTAATTTCGGTAAATGTCTACTTCAGGTCCACTAAACCATCCTGAATGATAAGAATGATTTTTATCCAAAGAATTTCACATTTCAATGATTTTTGTTTTTTGGTGGATCTAAACCCCACATTTACCCTATTTACCCTAATTTCTTCTCATTTTCTCCCCAATTCATCCAAGATTGATCATTCTCGAGATAAATTCGTTACCAAAAAATTTTTCGAAATCGAATTCGTCGAATTTGTCATAAAAATTCACTTCCTCCAGATTATTGTGGAAATCGATATAAATAATCCGCGTCTGGTTACTTGAGGATCACGTGGTCCGCCCCTAACGCACGGAAATTGAATAATTGCAATTAGATTTTAAGGTATGATATATTTTTTTATTGGCGAGCAATCTTGCATGACCATCCCTTTGAAGCAGGGTGAGATATTATTGAAGTAATGAGTGTTCAAGTGCAGATGTTTGTAATGCCGATAGTTTGCCAAATTTTTCATTGTTTTATTGTTAATTCACTCGGAAATGGCACGTTTTATTGCACTCTAGGTACTGCACGTGCGTAAACGAGTTGTTGATTGAAATTATGTAAAATAAATAGTTAATGCGAGCATGAAGCTGGTGTTTATTATTATTCCTCAACTATTTGTGGATAATTGCTGTCAGCATTGTCGAGTCGTCCAGTGGATTTTGCATTTCCGGGTTGTAGATGAGAAAAATAATAAGTCGAAAGAACAATTAAACCCAATCTATTTGGATATTACATCGTAATTGATAACCATGATACAAGCATGCAGTTATAGGACAATATATATAAACATAAATTTCTCGTTATTTTGATCTTATGCTTTTTTTTTATCCGCATTGGCACAACATACATATTATATATATGTACATCTGTATGGGGAATACTAGGGTAATCTGGACAGGCGTTAAAAATTTTTCCATTTTTTATTTTCATTATGGTCCCCCTTTCTCCAAAATTCAGTGTTTATTAAAAATTTAAAATTTACTCACAAATTATTGGTCGGACTGACCCAAAAAAATCTATC